TTCTAGCGACGTTTGCAGTTGCGTACAAGCCTGTCGGGTGCTGGGGGGGGTTGCCAAGCACACACGGGGCCTGAACGTGGCCGAAACCACATTTGTTTCATATTTTGTGGAATTCCTGCAGAATAGGCTGTGTTCCTGCAGCCCCACTGACGTGGGGATTTACAGGAGCTGGACCGGCATGAGTGGGGACAGATCCGCAGCAAGGCCTTAGTAACGCGCGGTTCACCGCTGAATGGATTTCCATCCTTTTATTTTAATGCACTGGCAGAAAAGTAAATAGATGTGCTAACATGGAAAATCAAGTTCCATTTTTAATGAAATGTTTATTCACAGCAAGTTTAATATTGATGTTGAATTGATTGGTGGAATTTTTCCCCATCAAAAATTAATGCGATACGATCTTTTCTGCACTGAAAGCATCTTCCAATTAATTGGCAGGTAACGCACTGTAAATCCAACACCGCCGCTCAGTCCAGAGCCATTCTTTTTTTTGAAGTGCACAACCACTCAGTGAATAATTAATAATGATTTATAGTGGTATTCAACTCTTACTAGTGTATCAGTATAAAGCAGGTAACAATTTTTTATTTATAGTTGGGAAACAATGAAAATTAAGAATTAATATATATGTGCTGGTCACCGCACGCATCACGCATGCATTAAAAACCTGACCTAACACCTACGCTGCAAGACGCAGCTGCCACACTGTGCTTTGCAGAAAGGAGGCCCCAGCTTTGCCAGGGATCTCGAATTCTACACGACTTGGTCTGACCTGGAAGCAAACGCTCCGGCTTCTCTCTCCTGGCTCGCGCGCCCAGGGGCCGGCAGCCGGAGCAGCTCCACGTCGAGAGGACGGCTCAGCGCCTTGCAGCGCGTGGCAACAATTAATGCGGGGTTACGAATCAACTTAATCTGCAGTTGAAATAAAATAAAAAAAAAAAAAAAAAAAAAAAAAAAAAAAGGAGCACTTACCATGGCAACTAACGCATCGTAGAGCACTGCGTGTCCTCCACCCCACAGCCGGTACCCACCCAGCGCTGCGTGCCCCGTGCAGATCCATGCTTTGCTTCTTTGCACAAGGCAGGAACGTGCCTGCGTTTCAAACATTAATATTGATTAGAGAATTTTATAACTGAACGTGAGGAGGAAGCAAACTCCTGTTCAGCGCTCTGGATAATTTCAAGTGCTTCTTTTTAGGCCAGGATGAGATAATTGATTTACACCGAGCCCTTAACATTGTGACAGAGCCAAGGGCCAGGTACTTAATCCCATTCCTGGCCCTTAACGGCTCGGGGCTGCAAAGCAGCGCCCATTGCACATCGTCACCGATGGGTCCCAGGGCCGCGGTCCCGGAGGCTTCGTCCTTCATTATAGGAAGAAACAACAAGAGCTTGTATACTTTCCACTGCTCCTTTCTCGAGGTTTTCTCCTTCATCAGCATCCTTTGGAATTCATGACGAAACCAGATAGGCTGTAAAGTAAAACTAGTAAATATCATTTAACGTGAAAAACCTCTCCAAAACCGTTTATATATGTTAATTTGCTAATCCATGGCTTTTCTTGAAATGTCCACGCACAACAAACCAGGCTGAAATTGATACCCCCTTCACACACCCAACTCTGAAAACGTGAAACGTTCCAGCCTCCCTAATAATTACCTTGGGAAGCCTCAAGAAAATGGAAATAGGGCTTCGAGTGAAAGTGGAGTAATAATAATAACAATAATAATGATAATACTAATGATAATAAAGTCTGAGCGAGGAGAGCAGCCTAGTGAGGGCAGAGGGAGCCTGCAAGGTGGCTGGTGCAGGAGGCAAGGAGAGGGAAGCAGGAGGCAGTCCGAGGGGGGCTGGTCCCCTCGGCCGGGGAGCTCGCCCCGGTGGGGTAGGGAATCGGGGGCCCCTGCGCCGGAGCAGCCCCCCTTAGCCAAGGGCACGGATATGTTTTTCTCCCTGCTTGTGTGTGCGCCGTGTCCTTTCCACCGTCGACCTTCCCATGCGCCCCGTCCGTGGTCTGTTGAAGGAAACGAGTGTTGCAGGTATTTCTGTGGGGTTTGGAGCCAAGCCTGAGCGCTTGGCCTCTCCCAGCACCTTCCCAAATGGGAGGAAACCCGTGCAGCTGCGTGCCTTTAATGGGACCTATAAAAGGAAAAGTAAAGAGTTCACGCCTTTCTCCTGTTGTTATGATATTTCTTACGAAGGATGTCTGTGATTTTTTCTGCTTGTTCTCTGCTCGTTTGAAGGAAAGACATTCCTCCTTCAGGAGAGCCCCTTCTGCAACACAGGGAGGCAAATGATTCAGTGGTGTGGAGGTTTTCCAGCCTAACTTTTCTCCCGCAGTTGTCAGGGAGGATGGTCTGAGCTGAATTTTAACAAACCTGCTTTCCTGCCAGCTCCTTCAGTATCAGTGGCAAGAAATAAATGGAGAGTTTGAAACAGCCTGAACACAAATCACACCCCGCTGCACATAGTTGCGTCTCATGAAGAAGATGCTGCTGCTGTCGTGGACCCCCTGGTCTTCAGCTACTGACAGATCATCTGTGGGTCCAAGAGAGTGGACAACTCCTGCTCTCTCAATGTAGAAAAAGAGGTTAAAAAAGCATATTTTGTGCTTTCATGCTTTTGGAAACACTGCCCTTCCCATCCAAATGTGTCCTGGTTCCATTCGCTTTGGGGCTTTTTTGTTCTTTGGGAACCATGAAAGTCTGACTGTGCTCTGGGAAGGCAGTGACCGTCATCCGGCAGCCAAAGAGGGAACCAAGTCAGATTTAAAGGAAAAAAAAAAAACAGAGGGGTTCAAATGTGGTTAAATATCAGCCCCCACGGTTTCCCCAGGCAGCAGCATGGTAGGCAGCAAGTTCTGAAGGACAGTGTCATCTCTCCAGCTGTAGGGTTTCTGAGGAATACGTTTGCCACGCCTTGTACCTGAGCTCACAGCTCTCATTTTTCAGCAATGCCAAGGTGAGGAGCTGTTTTTTGAGGCAGTACCCACATTTGTTGTGAATAAGTAGACCTCTTTCCACAGGACACGAATTCTACACCCAGAGCTTTGTGAATCTCGAGCACGAGCATTCCCCAGCTGGTAGACAGTCTTGAGGGAAACTGCACCAGGCTTGCTCATCAAAATAACAAATGAAGGCTCCTTTGGGGCCACTTAGTGCTCTTAAAACTTGCTGCCAAATTTAGCTAGAGGTGAAGAAAATATTCCTTTCCTTGCAGGGAACTTTTTGCCATGATAATCACCTGAGGACGGTGACCTCCAGGGTTGAGGAGAGCTGCCTGCCTTGTCCCACCCCACTCCCACCCCTTTGCAGGGCTGGGGTGGGGGCTCCAAAGGCCCCTTCGTTAGGAGACATAAAGGTTTATTTAACTTAGCAGGGACTCATCCTATAAAAGAGCTTTTCTGTGTCCCTGGGAAGATCAAAGCCCCATCCCTTCGGGGCAACGGCACTGGGTGCTGCTCAAAACTGATCACTTTGCAGAGGTCATCTGTGCTTGGCTGAGTTTAGGAGTGGTAAAGCTCCAGGGCATCTCACGGTGAAGGATACTGTCCAGAAATCATAAACCAGCTCCGTCGAGAATTTCTATATAGACTTTAGTTATCAACTCCTGCCTCCCCTCAGGCATTCTGGCTGCACAACATCTCCATAACTACTTCTTTTTCCTTTCCCCGTGCTTTCCCTTTGCCCTCCTCTGGCTTCTTCCTTCCCTCACCCTATCTTCATGCTAACACTGCTGCTGTTGGACACCCTCGAAGTGCCAAAGGTGCGTCAAGCTGCACATCCCCAAGGTTCAGGCTCTGCTGGGAGATGCCTGATGGGTGCTACGTTTTCAGCCGTGGTTTGTGCATGTCTGCTTTCCTCTCTGCTGGTCCTTCCCATTCCCTCGGTGACCCTCCCTTGGCCAGAGCCCAGGGACCTCCGGACGTTGCCCCTCTGCAGGCCGAAAGCTGGGAGGTTGTAGGATCCCAAGAGCTGGCGAAGGCGGCTGCAGGCGGTGGGCACGATGGCTGCACAGACAGAGGATTTGGCCTTTGTGTGGCCATCCCACCGTGTCTGCCTGTCCATCCTGTTGTATCCGGGCGCCCGTCCCGCCGCGCAGGGCTGCAGCATCCTCCCGCCTGGCGTTTCGCTGAGAGCGTGCCGAGCCCCTCGAAGCAGGGAAGAGCAGCTCCTCGAGCGGCAGCGGAGGACCGGGGCGGTAAGAAAACAAAACCCAGCCAGCATCTAAACCCGCCGCGTTCCCATGGCTACCGCATTCCCCAGAGCAACCGGGACAGCCGCATCCCAGCCTGCGGCACGGAGCCGCCCCCAGCCCCGCTGCGGGGCCGGGGTGCCCCCCGTCCCCCCACCCCAACCGTCCCGCGGGGACACGGCAGCGCCGGGACGCGCCTCCTCGGGGCCTCGCCAATGCGTCCCAGCGGGGCGCCTCGGTGGGAGCCCAAACGATGGGCACCCCAGCACGGGGCACTGGTGGAGGTGCAGCCCCTGGCTTTGGGGCTGCAGAGAGGGGCAAAACGCTCCTCGAAAAACCTCGTGGTGATGTCCACAGGGCAAAAGCAATCCTGGAGGAGTGGGAACGTCTCACCATTGGCACAAAGGCAAAGCAAATACAGGAGTGTGTTAAAGCTGTCAATAAATGGCTAAATGCAGTAAACTAAGAGAGCATTTTCCTTTGTTCTCCACTTTTGATGTTGTTAAATCAAGCAGGAGCTTGATGTCTACTTGATTTTACCTTTATAACTGTAATTAAGGGAGACTAGAGATCTCTGGAGTGTTGTCATCTGCTTATTTTTGCATGCTGGCTTGTGTTAAAATCTGTCGTGCATTCCCGGCGGAGGGCAGGAGATACGGCGTCAGGCTCTCACAGCCCTTACTGAAACATTTTGTGCACCACAATCATTTCCAGGCAGCTTTTCAAGCCGCTCTCGTTTCTGGGTGGCTGGAGGAGTTTGCTTGTCAGAGGCGCTCCTCGCAAACCCCGCTCCCCAGCCCATTCTCTGCTCCCCAAAAGCCGGGCTGCACGCCGAAACGGGGGGGTGACAGCTCACCGTCGCCAGACCCTGCGCTGGGGGAGCTGCTGCCCGGAGGATGCTCCGCTGCTTGGCATCAAGGAGCTGCTGTTAAAAAAGGAGGTGGACGGGGCTTCTCCTTGGGAGGGAAGAGATGTGCTTTCTGCCCGCGGTAAGCCAGACGCCGGTGCTGGGGTGCTTTGAAAGGTGAAAGAGGTTTGGGGAGTCCTGGTTTTGCTGCAGCTCTTGCCGGGGTGTTCGAGGGGAGGGAGACGCAATCGGTGGGCACCAGCCCTGGGGGGAAGGGGCGAGGGAGCAGCTCCTCAGCCTGGTTTGGTGCCGCGGGTGCAGGGACAGGGTGGCAGGGGCTGGGTTCCTTCTGTCCCCCCAAAATTGTCCCAAAGGGGCCAGCAAGTCATGGGAGGTGCTGGCAGGAGCTCGGTCCACAAATGCTGCGCCGTGATGCTCTGCTGAGGGGACCAGCCCTCGCGCGTGGGGTGTAAGGGGCAGGAACTGATGCAGGGCCTTTGCTGTGGAAGATTTTGGGTCTGGGTTTTGGTGTTGTCTTGTTTCGTTGGGATAGATATTTTGGTTTTTATGTGATGGGAGGCTGCTGGGAGCTGCCCAGGAAGCCTGGAACTGGCGCGTCAGTAATGCCGCACGCGGAGCTGTGGAGGTGGGGAGAGGGGCATTGCATCCACTCCCCCTGAAATCGGGCTTTGTTACTTTTCAATTAAAGACTTGGAGCTTGCAAAAGCATACGGCTCCCCAGAGGCCCTAATGAAAAGCCAGGAAAAAACAGATTCGGGTCCCTGATATGTCTAAGCAGAGCGTTTTCAAGATCTTCCTCCCTTGATCAGAAATATATGAAGTTGGTATGAGTCCAGCTTGAAAAAAAAAGAGATTATGCAAAGTGCTTTAGGAAACTTGCTGTCAGTAAGTGAGTGAAGAAGCCCCTGAGCTTCCATGATGGAGAGCGGGGTGTAACTCTGGTCGCGTGTGCCTGGAAATGTCTTCAGGCTCTTTCACTGTGAAACAAAACTTTAGCATTGCTTTCCTAGTACTCTGGCAGTATTTTGCGTTTTTTAATTACTTGCATGCTTCTGCTTTTAAGGAGTGCGCTTCCTTGCGCCGAGCTCCGGCTGCCCGAGGTGCAGGAGCTGTAAATCCCCTCGGGGAGCTGGGGGGGCTGCTCACGCCGCCTGCACGGGCGCCTCGGCGCCTCTCTCCATCCCTAACTTCACCGTCCCGCCGCTTGCAAACAGTTCGCTTCAAATGTGAATAGACAGAGTTACTGAGTGCCCTGGCGCTTGCCTGGCTCTACTGCTGAAACCGTAGTGCTCTTGTTTACTGCCTTCATGGCCGCTATTTTGCTGCTGGTTTTATGTTACATAAAAAGTGGCTATTTTGCAATATAAAATACAGTAAATAGCAAATACCACAAGTACAGTCTGATACGATCCAGTAAAATTTTGCTGCTGTTATTCCACATTGGTTATATTTTTCATTTTATTTTTCACATTCTTATCTTGATGCTTTTGCCCTGCGACACAATACGCAGTTGACGATTTTAGAGTCTAGAGTGGCTTCACGTTATTTGTACAAAGAGGTTACAATGAGGTGATACTGGTGTGTAGTGGCATTGTACAAACCTGGGACAACTCCGCCTGAGCCCAGGAAGTCCTGCACAGCTGGTGTGAGAGGGCAGCTGACGCCGCAGTGCTTCAGAAAGAAGCAAAACATATTTTTACTTGTTAACGGGTGGTGCTTTTCTTAGTCTGGCCGCCTAGGTTTAGGTGTCTGTCCCAGCTGCTGTGAGTGGCAGCCCCTACAGTGATCCCCCTCTCCGGGGGAGTCTCATCTGCTCCCTCGACACCAATGTTTGCCTTCGCAATGTTTTGCCTTAGCAAAGCTGTTTCATGTGCTGCTTCAAGGCAGAGCATCAGAAGACGTATGGTTAATTCACTGCCATTGCAAAGATGATGCTAAACATGAAAACACTCGTGCCAGGTCAGCAAAAGCTGTTCTCTAGGAAAAGAAAGGGCAGGAGAAAAGCAGCCTGCCTGCTCCTGGGTGCTCCCTGGGGCTGTGGGGTTGGGAGTTTGTCTGCTCCAAAACCTGGCATAGGTTTTTCCCTCCGTGTATGCATGCAACGCAAAAGCAAACCTAAGCTGGAAATAGTTGACTGTTTGATCCTTACGCTCTGTGAGCTGGCGGGGCAAGTGCTGGCACAGGCACCTGCAGACCCGGGGGTGTCCCCAGGTCTCACAGCCCCACGAGCACACACCCCACCACGTCAGCTCCCCGGCGTGCCCTGCTTTCCACCGACCGCCTTCCCGTGAGCGCTGAGCTCCCAGCCTGGCTGCTTTATTATAAGAATGAAGCCTCTAGTAATTTACCAAAGGACTGAAGTAGTACATTAAGCTTCACTTTCTAGGTACCGGAAACAACATTATAAGGAAAAAGTAAGACTTAATACAACAAGATACCTTGGTAGTTACTCCCACCTAGCTCAGCCGAAGTTATCACAGCATGCATTGGATGAGAAGGCAATTGCCCAGTTCCCACGGCACAGTCCTGCTGTGGCTGTTCTGGGGGCTCTTTCTGCCACGGATGTGTGGGGACACTGCTTCGCTGTGCTGAAACCATAGGATCAGGGATGTCCTATTCGTAGGTTCATTCTGGGAGATATATCCTAATTCTAGTCAAAACCTTGCTGCTCATTCTGATTGCACGTACGACCTTGAAAAGTCCAAGGAGGAGGATCTTAGATTGTAAACACACAAAAGCATTATGTGTGTGTGATCCCTCTATCTCCATGGGCTTGTTACCAAAGTAAGTGGCAGGTCCAGGACCGATATATTTTACTTAGATGGTTTTGTGAGTCTTTCTCCTTCCTACCGCTTGTGCCGGCCCCGAGCGCTGCCCATGCCGCCGTGGACAGCTGTGAGCAGCTCCACAGTATGTCCACCGTAGATCTCCAGAACTTCACTGAGGAGAACCCTGGCTTGGAGGGAGTCTCGTGCAGTCGTCCTTTTGCTGTGCAGCATTGGGGATCTCTTCAGGGGGATCTGGGCGTGAGATTTAATCCATCCCAGCTGCCGTCCCAGCCTGGCCGTAGCCGTGCAGAGGAGCACTGGGCGAACAGCTAGGAGTGGAGAAGAATTACCAGGGCTCTTCCAAAGATGCTCATGGATATGAAACTGGACGACAAGCAAATATTCTGAGCTACTAGATTTACTGCCTTGTGTATGTGCTGGTTGTATTATTTTGGTCAATAATCAGCAGTAGGATTTTAGGTTACCCCTTGTGTAATAAAGCTCAGATTTGTAACAGTGGAACCTCCTGGACTGTCCTTGTATGGGCAGGGAGGGAGAGAGACCACCTTGATGGTTTGGAGATGAAGAACAAGTGTTTTGTGTCAAAAATCAAGGGTGAAAAATTAAATTGGGAGAGATCCAGGAAGAGTTCTGGAGTTACAGATGACATTTTTCTTGTCAAGGCTGCCCAGAAACATGATCACCAAAGCCAGTGTAATCAAGAAATGGTCTAGAGATTTGCCCCTCCAAACAGCCCTTTAACCCTTCCCCATCCTGAGGGGAAGGCGCCGTATGTGGGGCTGTTCACAAGAGCACGGAAGAGCTGCCACCACTCCCACCTCCGCCGAGAGGACAGCGAAGGGCCGCTCGACGTGACACCTTGCACTAGCAGGACATGTGGCTTCTGACCTGCAGGTGACACGGGGTGGCACATCTGCTTGCAGCGGCTCGTGGAGACACTGCTAACCTCCTCCAAGCCAGGCGTGTGTCTGGCTGCACCAGCAGTTCCCCACCGAAGGATCACCATCGCCAGGGTCCAGAATACACTGAAAGGCTCACATCAGCTGCCTGGCCTGGGGGCAGCAGCTCGTGCTTGTTTTGCCTCATGGAATGGAGATGAGTTTGGGAAAGCTGTAGAAGTGATGACTACCTGCAGTACTCAGCCACTGCAGTGGAGCTACCTGTCACGTCTAGGGTGGGAATGGAATTTTAGGAGCCCAACATCACTGTTGGTGAAGGTCATGCTCTACGCAGTGCCTCAGCTGATGGAGCAGGAGGGTGGGAGAGCACAGGAGAAGCCGAGGGGCAGGAAGGAGATGGAAAACTCGGTGCCATTCGACTAGAAATTCTTGGCAGCGAGCACAAAATCTGCTGCAGGTGTAGGCAGCTTTACTCCTGGCAGAAGCTTGGTCTTCAGAAACCACCTGTGTGTCCCAACGGGTGGGTGTACCTGGAACCTGGTGTTTGGACGTGCTGTGAGCCACCAGGACCTTCTCTGTGAACCCCACGTACTGTGGATGAGCGCCACAGGTGAGCACAGATCAACCCTCCTGAAAACATCGTTTCGCTCTCACGATGGAGGCGTCACCCCAAGGGACCAGGCTCGAGCCTCCCTCCTTCCCAAGGCAGGATGGGGAGAGCTTTGCCAGAGAGCCAGAGGATTTTGTCCCTTACTTAGCGAGGCTGCAGTGCCCCAAGGTGGAACTGTGTAAATAAGACTGTATACATGTAAAAGGAGATGAAAGATGAGGCTGCACATTCTTTGTGCTCCCCAGCCACATCCCCCACCTTGGTTAGGATACGTGCATAACGTGTCCCCCGTGACAGGTTGGGAACACAGAGCAGCTAATGCAAGAGACGATCTCTTTTCATATTCAGTTGCTATTTTTTTCCCAAAGAAAATAAATTTTTAAGTCAAGTTTTTCACTCTATCTGTCCTAGAGCATAGACAAGAAAGGTTAGTTATAAATAATGTAGAGCTGCGTCCCCTGTTGAGGGGAAGGAAAATACAGGGAACCTCATAAAGAGAAACACACCCTCAATGGACGGGGATGAGCCGAGGGAGATGGGGATCCCACCAGGCCACCAAAGCCCTTCTCCTGCCACGGGGAGAGCTGCCAGTGGGCCTCCAACCAGGCAGTGAGCAGCCACGTCTGCACAGGCCAGCCCCAACCCCAACCCCATCAGCAGCTCCGAAGGCTTGTCAGGGCAATGAAAACTGCAGCAAAAGCAGCTGGATCAAAGCAGCATCTGAGCAGAGAAACACTTAATTGGGCTGTGCTCTGGAAACTACTGGAAGATGAGGCCAAAGAGGAAGGCGTCATCTTCCATCCGGCTTTTTAATCGATTCAGC